ATTTCTTAATGTTCCTGGTTACAAAACTAACAGCAATGATGAGACTAAAAACAGACGGAGTAATTTTGTTTAATTCGAAATGGATAATTTTTTAAAAATATTCAAATTTGAAAAAGTAGTTTTCGAAGGTTGAGTAACGGTGATTTTTTTTTAAATCAAAATATTAAAAAACTACTCAGTCTGTTTTTGTTCTATTATTTCTGTACATTATGCAACTAGAAACAATAAAAAATATCAATTAGATCCAGAGATAAGTGTACCTTAAACATTATTTTTTTCACCTCAATTTTTTTCAACAAATTCTTGTAGTTACTTCCAATGCTCCGAATTCGATTCTGTTTGCACCGAACTGTTCAGAATCGCTTAAATTTTAATTTAAAAAAATTTTAAAACTGTAATTTCTTTCATTTTTCAATTGGCGAGCAAGTGGCCTTTTACTGCCTGTGGCCGCTAGAGGACAATAAAAGAATAACTAAGTAATTGATAAACAAAGACTAAGTTCCTGAAATATTAAAGTAATTTTTCTGTTTCAGGCAATGATTGCAAAGAGGCTTGGAGTAAGCTCGGAAATGCGTTCATCCAGGCGAAGCACCGAAGAGCCACCAAATCAGGCCAGGCAGCAAAAAATTTACCAAAGTGGAAATATGAAAATGAGATGGCGTTTTTAAATCCTACACTCATCTCGAGGAAGACGTGTGGATATGTAGACAACACAGAAAATCATCCCGAAGCAACAAATACGTCAATAAGAATAGAGGCGGAAGAGGATAGCGCGCCTAGAATGGATTCTCTACAAACGGAAAATCCATTACAACAGGAAAATCCTGGAAGACCTATGACTAGGAAGCGAGGTCGATCGTCCTCAATCCAGAAGATGGTTGGTGTCATGAGGAACAACCAGCGGTTATGGGCCCAGATTTTAGAGTCCTCATCTGCCGTAGAGAAAATCGAGGACGAGGATGATCTATTCTTCCGCAGTACGCCAAAACATGTAAAAAAACTGCGCCCCGAGGAGAGAATCCGAATAAAAATGGAAGTGGGGAATATTGTTTTAGGGGCAGCGTTACAAGCTGCCCGCAAAAATATAGAAGACTCATCGGTACAACTCCAATATCCCACCAATGCCTCAACTTCTACATCTACACAATCTACAGCATCATTACCATCTAATGTTGGCCTGGATTGGTTAGACGAATATGAAGATAAAAAAAAAAATGATTTCTAATAGCATGATAGATTTGTGATTACTACTATTTCTATATAGGGTGTTTGTTTAAGTGAGTACAGTAGGCTATCTCGGAAAATGTTGTAATTATTAAAAATCTGTCCCTACACAAGTTTGGTAAGACGGGCTACATCATGTAGTAAACATTGTTTTCTTGTGGGTGAAGTAATAGAGGAGATCTGAAGGTCAATCTAATTTTGTTAAATGGAATGCTATATATTTTACACAAAAATATGGACGCTTAAAGTAATTTCACTTTATTTCTTGAAGTTTTTCTTCAGAAATTCAATCTCATCACAGATTTTCACAGGACAGCGATGTTTACAGCCATGAAGCTCCTGAAATCTGTGATAAGGTTGAATCTCCAAAGAAAATCTTCAAATAATAAAGTGAAATACTCGTCACCTATTAGGTTCAGGGCTATTAAAGGTCAATATTTTTTTATTTAGAATTCGATACTCTAACATATTTTTGTATAAAAAATACAGCATTTCATTTAAAAAAATTGGATTGACCCTTAGATTTTTAATAATTACAACATCTTCCGAGATAGCCTGCTGTATTCAATTAAACAAAACACTCTATATATGAGATGTACTCTTATGTACTATACTATTTGTATGTATATAAGACTATAATATTTGTATGTATATAAGATATTAATAGTTTTTTTTAACATATAAAAAAATAACGATAAATAACAATGAACCGTCTTTTTCTAAAATGTTTAGAGCCACTGCGATAGTTCATTTTCCCCTGAAATCCAGCTATCTGAACATGGCATCAGACTTTTAAAAAATTTATTTTTTTTTACGGAAGATTGTATTTCGTTTGTACTTGTTTGTCCCGATTTTCCTTTCGTTTGTACGTCAGTAGTTTAAAAGTTACAAACAATTGTTGATACGCTTGTCCTATACCGCTTGTACTCCGAAAAGAGATTAAAGTAAGTACATACATGCATTATTACTTAAGTATGATTTTTTTACTGATTGAGTTTTTGTATAGTGTTACGTATGCGCACCCGTTCTTTTCGAAGCTCGCGTTCATTTCTTTTATCTACCCCTTGAAATGTGGAGTCTGGTCTTACCGAAATGCACCCTGCAGTTGTACCATACTTTTCTTAGAATCATCTTTTAACTCGCGTTGCGTGGGTAACCCTTTATCTAAACTTTCCCTAAAGCCCCACAGATGCTCAACTCTGAGTAACGAAAATCTCAACCGCCAAATTTCCATATATGGGAATCACTGACGTATCCCCACCAATATCTAGGGGTATATAAACCCATGATTTTCGTTACTCGCGGGATTAGTACGAAAGAGTTACTTGGTAAAGTCACGTCGATCGTCTTCAGAGTTGCACTTCAGTGAGATCGGGCTTCAGATCCCTTTCGATTAACATTAACTATATAGGTCCGCGAGGACGGTACAAAATCTATTACGGCATAGAAGCATTCTCGACCCCCGCATCGCCAGTGCGTTAACACCGTGCAACAATTAAGTAATTAAATTCATACACTAACCGCGACAACATGACACTGTAAAATTGTATTATTAGAATTATTCAGTTTTGAATATATAATCATTTGTAATCCTTAAAAGGTCTGTTAAATCATTATTAAATCTTCACCATTGGAATAAGCAATCCTAACCAGTGTAACGACCCCACAACATAATAACTTTACCGCTCGAGTTATTATTTGTTTAGAATTAATACTTGCGAGGCTTTATCCACGACGCGTATTATATTCCAACGATATGATTCAATCCTTACCTAACCTTCTCAACGGTTACCCTTTACCGGGAGATACCGATCCTACGGTTACCCTTAATTGGGAGATACAAATTCCCAGCAGCTATCTGGTTTTGCGTCAGAGTCTGCGATTTCTACTCCATCGTATCTTCGATAACAGAAAGAGTTTGGACTATGATAGCTGGAGCTGTTTTAGAAAAAGTTTTCTGGGGGGGAAGCCATTCTGACGGCTGCATATTTAATTCATTTAACTCCAACAAAAGCTTTGAAAAAAGTGAAAACACCAATTACAATGTGGCACAATAAAAGCCTCAATTGAAATATTTAAGAGTTTTCGGATCAACTGTTTATGTCCATAATAAAACCAGAGAATTCCCAGATAGCATAGGGACGTCTTATATACGTCCATTGGACGTCCGGGACGTCCTATGGAATTGTATTGAATATTTGTACAATGTTGAATAAATTTTGAAAATTGAGATTTAAACAAAAAATAAATTTAAATTTTGTATTTTTTTTCATTTGTTGGTAGATTTTTCGTTCACTGTAAATAGTGTATTTTATATTCGGAAAAAAGTATTCTGATCTACATATTGAATGAATATTTATTTTATGTTTTAAAAAAAGTATTTTTTTCTAAATCTAGAAAATTCAGAACAGACATCCCTGGGGTGTACAAAATTTAGGTCCCATATACGTTCGTAGGACGTACAGGGCAGACGTCCATGGGACGTCCGGTGCTATCTGGGTTTAAATTAGAAGATAAACCTTGGAAAGGCATACTAGTTGGATATGGAATAAATGGTTACAAGGTGTGGAATGTTGAAACTGGTAAGTTTGACATGGTGAGAGATGTAATAACAGATGAAACTAATTTTTTAGTTTCAAGATCAATAATGGTACAATCTGAAACTGATACACCTAAATCAGTAAGCTCTCAAAAATCTAATTGTAATAAATTAAATACAACTGCATCAAAGGTAATTGAAACTAATAAAAATGCAGAATTATGTCCTGAACTTAATAAATCTGTGACAGAAACAGATGAAGACAATGAATTGACTAATAATAATAATAATAATGGAAAAAACTAATGTTTCCTGAATTAAGGAGGAGTGAGAGGATCAAACATCATCCATCTATTCATTATGATGAAAGTGAAATGCCAGATGATTATCTTTTGTCTGCTCAATCCATAGTTTGCAAAATCCCTACGTCATATCATGAGATTGAAAATAAGGATGATAAAATTGAATGACAGACTAGGACAACAGACTATTAAAGATGAAATGGATTCTATTTTGATTAAAAATAAAAGACTGTGGTGTCAAAGTCTGAGAAATGTGAGGCTCCTTACCGAAATCGGATGTTTGATGTACGTGATTCTGTGCACCTGGCCTGATCTAAGCATAGCTGTAAATATATTGAGTAAATATTTAACTAAAAATAATAAACAACTCTGGCAATGTTTAAAGCAGGTACTTACATATGGCACACAAATTTAATCTGGATTTAAATCTTTTATTAGAACAATTGTGTCTGACCACGTCTCCACTGCACGAGGCGCGTTCGCAGTTGTTCGCAGTCTAAATTGGACTTTTTTGTTTTCTCTAGGGCACGTGTCTTATGAAACTAAGCTCACCAACTACTTAACCTAAAAACTTAAAAATAACTAACCTAGTTACAATTACGCGCGTGGCAGCACTGTCATGTCGCTACTGTTACACTATCATGTGAACTTAGCTTTATTACATGTAGCGCCACAACACGGAATATCTTAAACACTAACGCATGTAGTATCACAGCTAACTCTAGTACTAGCCGTGCTGAGAAACGTGGTAACACCGTTCAAGTCCAGAGCGAGAGTCTTATTTTCAAATATGAATCTTGTGCTTCGTATCATTGTAAATGAATTATCAATATATATATCGTGTAAAATATTTATTTACAAATGCTTACATATTAATAATTATTTATTCATATACAGATGTTTATATGGAATATTTAACAATTACAACTAGATAGTTTTATCTTAATTTAGCCATCGGCGAAAAGCAATTTCTACCTGTACTTATAATGCACAGTTTTGTTTTTTCTTCTAATTATTGAAAATAATAATTATTAGAATAGATATTAATTTGAAAATAAGAGTGAAGATATTTTTTTGTTTCCTTGAATCGATGTGGTGTTTGTATTTTGTTAGATATTTAATGTTTAGCTTTGATTTATTTTATGTGTATACTATGTAAAGGCACAAAAAATATATAAAGTTTTTAATAACGAGTTTTATATAAAGGGCGTTTAGTATCCGCTTTAAACATAGTATGTCTTCATACTTAAAGAGGAATCGATAATCTGACATTAATCCTCTCTTTCAAAAAATAAATTGGGATAGAATCTTAATGCTTCGATTGTATCATCCCTACATGCTTTACCATTTTTTTCTGTGACTAGTAATCTTTCACGTGCCAGAAGGACAGATATACCTTCAGATTGTGCAAGTTCTTCTGCCGTTAGAGATCCTCTTTCATGTAACTATAAGAAAGAAAAAAATTAAATTGTATTTAACAATTCTTTAAATTAAATGCTTACCAGTTCGGATATCATTTCAACAATGGCATTGTCATTGTGAGATCGAATTTGGAGAACCATAACCCCGCTATCGAAAGTTCTCAATACTATAGGTAAATTTAAAGGCGCTAATTGCCTACTGGCATTCAATAAGTCTTCCGGTGATAGAAGCTCCAAGCCTCTAGCTCTATTTACACGACAATAAACATCTGTTAATGTCATCATTCCCCCAACTTCCTACAAAATGGAGTTTACCTGAGTATTTTACAATTCTCAATTTGTTACTAATTATATAGTATATTAACTTTAATTGGTTCTTCTAAAATATCTGCCAGTTGTTTTGCCAATTGCTTGAAGTATTCATTACTGCTTTTGTATGCATCTCTTGTTACAGGGTCATCGATACCAAGGCTCATTAAGTAGGATTTAAATCTGACCGTTTCATCCTCCGTGATGTCTCCATGTCTCTCCTGCAATTGTCTTTCATTATGAATGTCAATTTTACAAAGTAGCTGTTGAGAGTCACCCGTATTTTTGCTGAGATGGTTTTCGAAATAGAAACCATGTCTTTGGCCATTTCCATAAGTTTCCTGAGATCTTGAAATGCCATCGATATACTGTCGTCCGTTACTTTTTGTTGCTCCTGGAGGCTTCTTTCTATGCCTATGATACCAGTCCGTGGTTTTATTCGTTGAGGTGGTTTGGGAACGCCACTGCTATTTTGCATATTAGAATTAGACTGATCTACAGGCATGATGGGTGCTATTTCCCAAGTCCGTCTTATAAAAGTAAAAGATAAATGCTTAATAAAGTATCGGTCTACGCCATCTTTAAAAAATAATTTGATGTAATTATATATGCTATTATCCAACGGACCAGGCATTTTACCTATAAAGACAAAATATTGTATGAAACTGAAGAATTTCATTGGTTCTACTTGTAAATATAATTTCTGTGCAACCAAACCATACCAGTTACAGCTTCGGAGAGATGTATAACAACTTTTGTGGTACGCCCAAAGGAAAATGGACTTAATTGATCTTCTTTGAAAGAAACAACGTGGTAAAGGGCTAACGAAAGGCATGGATTACAACGTTGTATATCACCAGGTCTTGCCCAAAGAATTCTATGGCTTGTAAGAATTAATTCACCATCTTCGAAATTTGTCTGTCACCAAATTAGAGGTTATCTTTATTTCTATTCGAATAGTATAATTAATTACTTAATTACTTAATTAATTAATCCGTGTACCTTAGTGTCACCATCGTATAAGCACACTCCCATATCGCGTCTTATGAACGTTTCATTTGGAAACATTCGAGAGTCCATATATTCGAATCTATTCATTGTTCTTGGAGGTTATATACAGGTATATATTTTGACCTTCGATTTTTGCACGACCTAGGCTCACGAAGCCTCAACTGATTGGGAGCCATTGGTTTAATTTGTTTAGAGCCGGCCCTAATCTGAAAATACGAGGACACGAACATCGAAGGTTCCAAAGAGAGTTTCACCTCTGTAAAATTGATCTGTGGTGCTGGTGATACTTTAAAGTTACCAGAATCAAAATAAAATGGAATGTTTTTTAATGAAATGCTCATTTGACAACTAAATACATATTATCTATAGGATATCGTCGAAATGACGTATATTTTAAAAATTTGATTAGCATTTGATTAAATATCGACAAAATTTTATATTCGATTTGTAAATCGACTAACAACCAACTTCTCTTCAGTGAGGTATCTGGCAATTGATGACAGGTGCATTGAATATAGAATTTCACGTAAAAGTATATCATATTGGGGGCGTTTTGTTTATACATACTTTTCATCTACCAGATTCCGCTTGGAATTTAATGTATAGCTGTTTTTTTCTGTAATGTGATTTGCTACAGGTTTTCGGTGATTCCTCGTTGACGTTTGACATTTATGTACAAGGTGCTACTTACTGTGTATATGTAGGCATTTCCTGTCAAAGAACACTGTGCTGTAGCAAATATAAAAATGAACAATTTTTAATTTTTTGTCATCCAAGGTCGTGACAACACGTTAAAAGAGAAAAGTCGAGGACATTATGGAGGATGTCCATGGACAACTACAGACCAAATACCATAAGATTGTTACGGAATATTCTAAAGTAAGGAGAAAATGTTTACTCTTTATAAATAAAACAAACAATTAATATTTTTTGTTTTAATATTATTTACTTCTATCTTATATAATATCTATACAATCTTGTAATATTAGTCAATAATTAGGTGGTAATCTTATCAGAAAATTTCTACCGTAGATCCGTGCTCAAGCAAATGTTCTAAAAAATGCTGTGATTGAAGAACAGAAACGTAATGCAGATATTCGCGAACAATTGAAAGAGAAGGAAGTAGAACTTCGGAAAGCTGAACAAGAATTAGACAGTTTGTCATTTCGAAATCAACAATTGACTAAACGTATAACTGTATTACAAGAGGAACTTGACAAAACGCAAATCAAATCGAAAAAGGGAAAAAGTAAATTATTAGAAAGTAATAGTCAAATACCAGTACATCCAAATCATATTCTAGATGAAGAGTTTAAAAAAAAAATAGTTGAGAATGCTCAATTATTATCGCAAATCAGCGACAAAGATAGCGAAATTGAAAGTTTAAATAATAGGATTCAAGAGCTACAGTATAAATTAGACCATTGTGAAAAATCTAAAGTTGAATTAGAATGTCAATATCAAAGTACAATAGAAAAACTAGAAAGAGAAAGAAACGATTTGCAAAAGAAGTTAAATGAAAAACAAAAGCAAGAAGAAACTGTTTCATGGTCTAGTAATGAAGGTAAACGAGACGGATATGATTTTGATACTAGACTAGGACTCTCTAATCATCGTCAAACTGAATTGTCTCCATTTTCGTCGCCGTTGGCTTCACGTAGATCATCAAAATCTATCGGCGAAGGTAAACCTCATAAAACACAAGAGGAAACCAATGAGTTTGAATTTTCAAAATTGTGCGACATAGAAAAAGAAATGAATTACTGGAAAGCGCAGTACCACATACTTAAAATAAAATGTGACGAAGTAGAACAAAAAGATTGTTTAAATAGCGTGCAGATTGAAAATGAGCCATTGCAACTAACAAAGATAGATCATATGGTAATATTTACTTTAATATTTTTATAGAAATTTTTGTTTAGTCTAATCTAATAATATAAATATAAATAACAGATTGGAAGATTAACAGTACCTTTCGCGATACCAGAGGAAATCGAAGCCCGGGAAGCAAAAATAAGAGATTATTTCCTACAGGAGATCGATAAGTTAATAATGGAAAAACATATTTATCATGCTAAAAATTTGGCTATGGCTGCTAATGTAATTAAATTAATTTTAAAAACCTTTCTTCGCAAAAACCATATTATTCTTCGGTTAATTAAATACGCGATTTTAAACAATTTTTTCAGAGCGAAGTTATGCAAGTTCATTTAGATGCAAGCGAATCAAAGAGGAAAAAATGCGAGTCTGCACTCACAGAAGCAAATTGGAATACTTCGGAAAGAGATAAAGAGATACAAGAAAATTATAAAACGCAACTTATTACTATGAGTGAACATCTCGCAAACATGAATGAGAAACTAATTTCTCAAACGGAAGAAATACAACACTTGAAGTTTGAACTTGTAAAGGTAATCGATATTCGTTAAAAAATGCAAACGTTAATGTTTCGAGTACTTTGTACATAATTTAATAATTTTCAGAATAATAAAAAGGGAAAACAGAAGTGATATAGGTTAAATTACAAGTTAGCAATTGATAACATTCCACGAGCAACATTAATTAATCAGAACTATTGGTAACTTTAATTTCATGTACATATGGTTAGACCTAATGAACACTAATTACAATTGTTGATCATATTCTTACTAATGTACTAAAGGATTTCTGAAATTAGTATAATATTATTTATGAAATTAAAATAAGAATTATTATTAACGTTCATTACCTGAACGTTTATAATACATAAAATTACATTTTATGTAGAATCATAAAATACACGGTATTATCATTTACACATATTCACAGTCAGTTCATTACAATGTCAATTGAACAATTTGTTCCTCAAAACTTTAAATTAAAGCTTTTGTTTATATTTTAATTATTATAAAATATATTAAAATATATAAGCATATAAATAATAAATATTTCTAAGTATTCAATGCGTAACAATTTGTGATCAAACGAAACAAAAAGTATGCTTTCTTGTATGTTTCCTTAAAAGTATTAAGAAAAGATTAACTGTTATTTCACTGATAAAATAATAAACACAATGCAAATAAAATCTCTGTTCTAAATTTAGATATACTATAAGCAAAAAAACAATTACATTTTAATTGAAAAACTGGCTCCACAACTACAACCTTGTTCGGCTAAAGGATTATTTGTTATTCTAAATGCGGACCGTATTAATTCGGTGTGATATTCTATCGATGCTCCTTTAATATATTCTAAAGATGTCGCATCTATAACCACTTTGGCACCATCCTTTTGAAACACTCTGCAACATAATACTGCACTTAATAAATTCTTGTAAGATAAATATAGCTCTATAAATATTATAATTATCTTTTCATGTAACCTTACTTATCGTCTTCACTTATGTTTGTATCCAAATCGAATTTATATTGAAAACCCGAACAACCTCCACCTTCCACTGTTACTCTTAAATAAGCATTATCATCAGTTATTTCCTTTAAACGTTTAACACAGCTATCAGTAATAATGATGCAATTTTCAGGCTTCACTGCAGCTTCTGTTGACAGTTTATTTAACGACGAAACTGTAGATACATTGTACCATGGAGAACTATAAACCAAAGTTGTCTTATTGATTCATTAATAGTACATGATATAAACTATTTAAACATATATTATAAATATATATTTAGTTATCGATCATATACATTGTGCAATAAATAATAGGTTATTTATTGTGACATTTTAATATTTAATTAAGTTTTCGTAGATACACGTAAAACAAACTAAACGAAATGTTAAAATTGATATTCACTTACATTAACAAACGTGAAAAATATCGGTTTGCCACAAAATTAGAAGAGAGACCCCAAATTGTGTGTTGTAATTTCGCCATATTCCTGACCATTCCTGACAAATGTTTGACAACTACAATCTCACAACACATAGACGTGAATGAAGAACATTGCTTTATCACACAGGTTTTGCCACTAAATTCATAGAATAATTATTGGAAACATTACATTAGAATCCTTAGTAATAAACCCTAGTTACGTAAATATTTTGTCTTCATCTGAAAAAACCTGACCGAGTACAATTATATCCTTCTGGATGAAAATTCATTTCCGTTTTTTTAAATTAGAATAATATCAAAAAATATCATAAGGAATAAATTTCATAGAAATAATATGTAAGTACGATGATTAGGAGTGCCCCTTAGGGAGTTATAGAGGACGCTATTGTGTAAGGTATTTTTTTATGTTCTTCACTGAACCATACTAATTATATTACATGTCTATAGGGTGTCTCAAAAATGTTTTAATACCTTGAAAGGGGTGATTCGGGAGGTGATTTGAAACAACTTTTTCCTTAACGAAAATGTTGACTTCGTTGAGGAGATATTAACGGAAAACACTGACCAATCAGAGCCCGAGGATGCTGGTGGGGCATAGGCTACGCGCTAGCCGACTTCGCTCATACGCTACCGCGGCCGCTCCACCAGTATACCCGGGCTCTGATTGGTCAATGTTTTCCGTTAATATCTCCTCAACAAAGCCTCGGACAACATTTTCGCTAAGGAAAAAGTTGTTTCAAATCACCTCCCGAACCACCTCTTTCAAGGTATTAAAACATTTTTGAGACACCCTGTATAGTATGCTATAGTAGGTCCTTAGACATTTAGTACGTCTATGAGTATGTCCCTCCCATATACCGAATTTTTTAAAATTCTATTCTGCGATTGGATAATGTATTTCTCTTTCACAATACTGTAATATTATTGGTTAAAATGGACAGTTAGCAAGAGGCCTTTATGGGTGCGCAGGAGACAAACTGGCGCCACCAACGGAAAGTAGGTGAACTATTAGATAGTTTTTCCCGTTTTTCAGGCACAATAATGAAAAAAAACATATAATAATTATACATGTCGTAATCAGGGGAAGTAAATCTATCGTCTCGTCAAGCGTTTTTTGGAAAAAATTAAAAAAAAAAAAGATTTTTTGTCTTTGAACGTATTTTTAGCAAGTTTTAAAAGCGAAATTGCAAAATGTGTAACTGTCCCCCGCAACGGTATTTTATAAGGAACAGTTTAAAAAAAAAATCAGTCAGAAAGGTCGCTTCCTCGCTTCATAAAATTACAATGGTGTTGTCGTTATGAAATCGAGAAGACTGATGCGCTTGCACAATGGCTTGAGTTTCACGCTCTCCACCACAGCACACCACAGCGCTGGTGTCGTCTCTCCTGCTGCTGGTGTGCCGATAATCTAAAAATGCCTTTCAGCATGGTTCAGTACTGTACTAAAAGTATGAAGCGCCTGAGCTTATATATTTTACTTTTGCATATGTATATATTTTCAATATTATATTGTTAAAAAACGTTATGTATATGTTAAGGTTGTTTATATTACATTGCAATTAATTGATACAGAATAGTCTGTTACGATAATTTCGAAGTAATAAATAATAAACAACTGATATGATATTTGTAATATGGTACGAAAATAATAAAGTACTAATTGTATTATTTGTGGAATGTAATGATAGTATGCAATGTAAAAAATATTGTATAATAAAAAAGGTAAAACGTTTATGAACATTATTTTTGAATATACGTAATTACATAAGAAAAAGCACACTAACAAAGGGAAGGTACGGATGTTGCAATCGCTTTTGCAACGACACCCTATGGGGGTCGTAGTACGCATGTAGTACTGCAAAAAAATTTTGGCTTTTTTCAGAATGGGTGTTTGTTTTCGATGTACAATAAAAGCATCTAACAAGGTTCGTTGAATGGATTGGTAGAGTATTAGGTTGTAACGCTGCTTGACCCCGGGTACGAATCCCGATTGATGTATTTTTTTTTATTTCAATTTTCTAACAGAAATATACTTTTCGGATATCATGATAATCTGATGCAGTAAAACTATATACTGCATATTATATATTACCTTACGCATATTTTAAGGATAAATTAATTTTTTAACGTAACATACCATGCCGGAATACCGGTATACTTGCTGTAGGTGAGTAAGTCTTTACAACGATTTTTATGTTTGGTCGTAAGTTTATTTCGTTTCATCGTGACAGTCACATGAAGGAAGGTTTGAAAGTTTGAAAATGGATAGTGATTCTTCGCGTGCAAGTTGTTTTGAAGAAATAGTTATCGATAGCAGAGAATCCAAGCGTAAAGAGGACAGAATGTGTGTAATGTTTTCTCTTTCTCTGGCGTGTGTATTCTCCGGAATACTACTGTTAGTTGTACATGTATACGTTCTATTCGTTCGATTTTACTAGTGTTAAAATGAGAAAGCATGTTATCTTCTATCATTCTCCAAAGTATAACACCCGTGCTCGAGCGATCACTTTATAGTTTGCCGCTACACCGAACCCCCTGTTTTGTCTACGGGTTCCTCCTCGTCACGCTCGAGAACGGTCAACTCGAATATACCATAACTGTTTCGAAATAAGCAACTCGCCGGTCCCGATCGAGTTACTTATTTCGAGACATTGCTATACTTGTTTCTATTTGTATAATGAATTTCAATATATTTATCTCTATTCTACATAGATATGTTTGATACGCATCATGGCTATCAAAAAATCGAGTACATTTCATCAACGTAAATCAAGCGGTATTCGCAGTAGAATTAAATAAACAATTTTGCAGTTGTGAATCTGAAGCATTCATTCGATGTACATGGTGATTAAAAATTTGGTGTTTCCACTGCTTTTTCGAAAATTATCACCCAAGTTCATGTACATCCTAATGGAAATTGTTTGTTTTAAAAAATATATCCGAAAATTAGTTATAAATAAGTCATATTTAACGAATGTATTTTTAAAAGAAAGGGGAAAAAAAGAATAGTGCAAGAATGTTTCAACAAGACTCAAACTCGCGACAGAGGAATTATTATGCTGATGCTTTACTGACCACACCGAATTCGCTATTGACAGAATAGCTTATAATGCACCCAGTAAGCAGCAATAATAACTTCAATGTTGAATATCTCGTAAAGTATAAATCGTCTGCCCCCAAAATTAAGTATCATTCGCTTCAGTTTTCCACTGTGCAAAGGCTCATCAAAAAATTAGCGTCATATCTGGGCCCGTTCCCTTCTCTCTCGTCTCTCGTCTCTCGTCTCTCGAACAAATGTAAGAAGGATGAAATAAAGGCAAATACAAATCGCCGCGTATAAAATACAATGTTCTTTTATTGCGGAGAGCTCTGCTCGTATCGAAGGCTGGCAACGAAGTGACTTTCCGGTCTGAGAAAATCTATCCCTAGCCTCGTCAAGGAAAGCCTTTTTAAAGGGCATCTGACACTGTCTTTGATCGGGCCTCGCGTCGCAGCGTCGCGCTCTGTCGTCCACGCGCGCCTGGCCCAAGTCTGCGTCTCCTCGGCATGGGGCGGCGGACAATGTATTCCGCTATTCCTTACACTCGGCGAGTCTGCATTTTCGCTTGTCCTCAAGCGATGTCCCCCTCGTCTCGGCTAGCCTTTGCTTACGTCGTTTTCTGTAACACAAAAAATCAAAGACTGGCCTGAGTATCTAGCCGGTATTTGATGTTGGCCATAAACTTTCCGTGTAGACCTTTCTCTTATTAATAAAAAGGTCCCTCTACAACAATACTCCCCTTTTCTAAGAAAGCCCACGATTATTCGGCCTTTCTCTCTTTTTCTATGACGACGTAGATAACGCCGTTCAGCTGTCGACGACTCAAAGCGATGCCTCGTCGCAAGACATTCGCGACATCCTTGGATCTTCGTTGATGTTGACGATTTTGTCCTTCTGTTGCTCAACTGCAACTCTGCGTGACCTCTCGCTGAATCCATACAATCACGTAATGGTGCACCACACCATCCGATAGCGGCTAGATATCACTATCGGCCTGACGGCATAACATGGAACCACTCGATAGTGGCTACACACCACTATTCCTTTAATGGTACACACATTGTCATACAACGGTGGCTAGACATCACCATTGTCATGACTACCAAATCTGGACCCATTCGATAGTTGCGAGACATCACTATCCCGTGAATGGTACGCAAATCTTCGTCGTGGCCAGTCCCTACCATCGTTTGGTGACTCGGACCTCGGTGTCTGGATCCCTTCAGCGGGCTTCGCCCTCCAGCTCTGCTCATTAACCTCATGTTCCGTAGGCGACGGTACCGACCACCTATGGCCACGAGCCCGCCCCCTTCCATCACCTGAGAACTGACTAACATAAAAATTTTAGTTTCTCCTAGTTCCCTATTCAATGGCCGCAACCTAAAGTTTCAGCCGTTCAGCTGCAACCACCGTTTTGACCTTCCACTTCCCTTTTTCCCAGGAAGGTCCGCGATTATCTGGAATTTCCTTCCTTAATAACTGCGTTGACTGCTCCGGTCATCTGTCGACGATTCAAAATCATGCCTCATCGCGAGACATTCGTCGACATACTCAGGTTGCATCCAGACGTCACCTTCAGTTCAACAGCTACAGGCACATCGGCATCCAGTAGTGACCAGCGTCCACTACTGACCCAGCCGTTCGGAACAATCACGCAGTGGTAATCAAATTAGCACCACTGCCGTAATATCGGTCTCTTCATCGTCTGAGAGCAACCAGCTGTCACTCCCAGCCCGATGGCAGGCAAATCATCGATGTTCAGTAATGACCAGCGTCCACTACTGACCCAACAGCAGAGTCATGACCATTCACCAGCGGCTAGACATCATTGCTGCAACTCATGGCTTCCGGCAACTCTCGGTGACGAACTCGTATCCGTCGACACGGTAGATGGTTCTACTCTGTAATCAAAGGCCACCACATCCGTAACGAACCTCACAACTATGGATTATTACCTGCTTGGGATGCGTGCACTCGGTTCTTGGGTCATAGCTCGGTTTATTCGACCGCCGCTATTCAAGACTTTAGTCGCTCCGCCGCAATAACCAGCTTCGCACCCCTTCCCCTTTCTTGAAGGTCTTAATCGTAGCGCCTTTTCTACTGCCTCGCAATTTTATCTCGCGAATCAACAATTATCGCAGATCCGCGTCTAGATACAACAGCTTCTGTTGTATCAGCCCCCATCATTTGAGCCCGGTCTCGTTCAAAAAGCGCTCGTCCAGATCGCTTGTTCCGGACCTTCTCTTGTAAGAGACTTCCGAGAATATGAAAATTTCATTGATTATAAAAAAAGAAGTTAAGAAACTACAATTTCA